GATCGCAAGTTGCACCGTTCTCTGGTGCGTAGGACTAGGACACTGTTGAGAAGGGTTAAGGAACAGTTTATCAGGAATCTTGCAGAGGAAGTCGAAAGCCATTTCTTAGTAGATGACCTTCGTCCTGCCTACCAAGCCCTGAGAAAACTAAACTCCAAGCTCTCTTCACAGACGACTGAGTATTTTGAGCAGTTGTATCAGTTTGACCAACCAACAGTTAACACGGATGCGGGTAATGTTGAGTTTCCTCTGCCAGACCCACCCATCAGCGAGGATCTACCCGCCATGACTGAAGTCAGGGGGGCGATCTCCAAGCTGAAGAGTGGTAAAGCAGCAGGTGTTTGTGACATCCCAGCTGAATTGTTAAATGCTGGTGGAGAACCTATGGCAAGGGGCTTGCATGCAGTCTGTCTGCCATCTGGCAGACTGGTACCCTTCCCCCTGACCTGCTGAGGGGTGTGGTCATCCCTCTCTGGAAGGGGAAAGGGGATCGGTGGGACTGCAGCAATCACCGAGGCATTACACTACTCAGTATACCAGGCAAGGTACTCGCACACATCCTACTGAGATGTATCAGAGACCACCTGCTGAGGCACCAAAGACCGAAGCAATCTGGATTCACTCCTGGTAAGTCCACAATAGACCGCATCCTGGCGCTTCGAGTCATTGTAGAGCGCCGTCGTGAGTTCGGGCGTGGGCTGCTTGCAACTTACATCGACCTCAAGAAGGCATTTGATACGGCGCATCGCGAATCAGTCTGGGAGATCCTGAGGCTAAGAGGAATTCTAACAAGGATTGCTGGATTAATAGCAAACATATATACATGCACTGAAAGTGCTGTATAGTGTGGTTACCTGTTAGTTCAGGTGTGAGGTAAGGCTGTGTTTTTGCACCAACACTTTTCAACACTTGCATGGATTGGATACTGGGTAGAACTACTGTCCAAAGTCACTATGGAGAAACTCTGGGCAATATCAAGGTTACAGACCTTCACTTTGCTGATGATGTTGCCATTCTTTCTGAATCTCTGGAAACCCTAGTGGCGGCTCTTGATGCATTTAGCAATGAAGCGAAGCCCCTGGGGCTAGGGGTCTCCTGACCAAGATCCAGGATTTTGGGGGCCTACTAAGAGACCCTTTGCAGTCGGTACATGCTTGCAGTGAAAACATCGAAGTCACAGAGAGTTTTATATACCTCGGTAGTGCAGTTCACGACTCTGGGCTGTCAGACCAGGAAGTCAGTAGACGGATTGGCCTGGCAGAAGGAGTCATGACATCTCTCGATCAGAGTATTTGGAGAAGCAGGACCAAGATATGCGTCTTCAAGGCCCTGATACTGCCAGTTTCACTATATAGTAGTGAAACTTGGATGCTATCTTGTGCTTCGGAATCTTGTCTTGATGCCTTTTGTAAAAGATCCTTGCACTGGATCATGGGGTACAGTTGGCAGGACCATGTGTCCAATCAACGGCTGCACCGTGAGACTGATACAGAACCTATTACTTGCACAATCCGCGATCATCAACTCAGCCTATACGGCCACTTGGCTCGATTCCCACAGAATGACCCTGCCCACCAGGTTGTCTCTGTCCGAGACTATCCTGGATAGAGGAGGCCAGTTAGACGACCGAGAACGTCGTGGCTTGGGTAGATCGATCAAACTTGTCGTGAGGAGCTAGAGATGGGTCGAGCCCCTACCTGGCGGCTCCCCATGAGGGACCTTTATAGGTGGAAGCAAAGAGTGGATGCGGCTATGCGCCCCTGCCGGTGTTAGCTCCCAAATGATGATGATGATGATATAATTATAATTATAATAATAAT